AATGGCACATTTTGTATGCTGCCCAATCAAAACAAAGAGGCATCTTCCTCTTCCTAAATGGAACTGGATCCCTCCATCCCTACCTCTTGAACGGGCTCCGTTATTTCAATGCATTCAACCAACTTATTTGGGTATTTGGGGCGACTATGATTAATAAAAATAGAGTAGGTGGGTTCGCTTATGCTCATCTCTCTTTGTCAAACAAAGCATGTCCTCATCATAACAAATATTAAGCATCTAAAAAAAAGTTTCCGATTTCTAATTAATTGAATTCTCTATTAACGCGTGCTATTAGAATAATTAAATATTAAATCACGCCTTCATCTAACAACTTAAGCTTTTAGAACAGTTGACAATTATCCCATCAAATCTCACGTGATTCAGAGCAGGAGGTCTTGAGTTCAAAGAGTATCTTTATGGCACTCTTTACACATTATCAAGTGACAATGACTTCTCCAAAAGCAAGTGTTCTAGTGCTGCTCGTCTTAGACGATTTGTAATGCTAAGGACTTTTGCTCTGGTCTCAATGCCCTCGATTCATGCGTCGCTTAACGAATGCTCCGTGCTCTAACGCATTTTCCATAGGACACACGATGGTCTATGGTGTATAAACAATGTTGTGAATGCACAAACTCTAAGGTTGTCAAAACATAAGATCGACAGAAAAATTACCAAAAAAATTATAAACCTATTACAATTGTGCCGATTCAATCATAATTTTTTTTTGGCTAATTTTTTTTTTGGTCATATTTTGGCTAATTGAGTCCTAATCTTTTTGTATAAACAATGTTGTGAATGCACAAACTCTAAGGTTGTCAAAACATAAGATCGACGGAAAAATTACCAAAAAAGTTATAAACCTATTACAATTGTATTAATTCAGCCATAAACTTTTTTTTCACTAATTGAGTCCTAATCCTTTTACATTTGTGTCAATTCAGTTGATCTGGCCAATTTTGGCTAGCCGTCGTACATGTACACTGACTTGGACAATTTTTAATAATATTTTAATATTTTATTGAATTTTTTCTTTCCTTCTTCCTCTGGCCGGTTAGGGCGAGCAAGGCTCGACCTCGCCCAGAGATAGCGAGGTCACCCTCACCAGCGGTCAGCGAGGACCTTGTCAACCCTAGCCTCTAGCCGGTCGCCGATGTGCATCGAGAGGCCAGATGAAAAAGGAAAGAAAAAAGCAAAAGAAAGAGAAAGAAAAGAAAAAAAGGAAAAAGAAAAGAAAAGAAAAAGAAAAAGAAAAAAGAGAGATAAAAATTCAAAAATATTAAATCATCATTAAAAATTGTCCATATCAGCGCCATATAGGACGGTCGACATCCATGCCAGTGCCAACTTGCCAAAATTAGCCTGATAAACTAAATTGACACAAATGAAAAAGGTTTATAACTCAATTGACAAACAAAAAAAAGATGTTTGTTACTGAATTGATATAATTATAATAGATTTATGACTTTTTTAGTAATTTTCCATAAGATCGACCGCTGTCTCGTGGAATTTCAAGTTAGCGTCGACGAAAATCCCAATTGATAAAAGGCGAATAGCATATGATCATCCGATTAGGGTCCTGGATAATTTCCTACCGTCACTAAGAATTCGGGATTCATTATCACGACGGTTTGATCGAATTTAAGGAGGGTAAGGTTCTTGAACTTTTAGGAACATAACGTCGAGATGGCTCATAAGTCATGCGACTCAGTGCAATGATAAAGAACTAGTATATGATGTATTATTTCCGCACACCCACTGCTCATGTAATCCTGCTTCCCAAATGTCGCGACTTAAAAAAAAATCGGGTTTTCGATTTTAGGCTAATGGATTACTAGATCAATTAAATTAACTAACCTAGCTCGAGTTCTCCCAAACTCTACCAAATCGCAACTTAGGTCCAATTGTGAGCATGCAAATATTTTCAATGGGAGTCGCCACTAATCATTTAAGGTAGGTTGATTAGAAACCTAAATAAAATAGCGGGAGTACTATTTTATTTCTGCGAACCAGAAATTATAAATTCGGGGACTTGGTTACGCTATATTCCCTAACGCCCTTTCGGTACCAATTTCAAGAGAAATACTCAATTGGACAATTTTGATAAATCCTGACTTAGAGTTCAAAGGTGCAGAAATTTTCTTTTTTGATTTTTTATTTATTTAAATGAAAGCGAACCTATATGTAATGACGTGCAAAAATTGACATGTGATTAATGCAACCTAACATGCAAACTATATGTCATGCGACGACGTGATCTATTTCTAATGACAGGCATATTATTTTTTTTTTGTATTTTTTCTTTAATGAAATTCGGAATTAAAAATGCCAATTATCTAAACATGCAATTTTAAACTAAAGAAATTAACCTATTCTAGAGTAATCTTTTTGGCATTTTTTATCAAAATTCGAAATTAAAATCAAGTAAAAAATATAACCGCTAAATCTTTCGAATTAAGTTTCGATCTGAAGCCTGACAGATCGATCCTAAAATTCGAAATACCCGCTATGGAAATAACTCTATCTAAAGCCTGATAGATAGATTTATTTCCACGTGTGCGGTTGCGGATTAGGAAATTTTCCTAATCGATCACATCTTGAAAAAAATTAGATATCTTAAATATCTTGGATATATTCAAAAGATTTTGAAAATTCTAAATTCTATCCAAATTTGAAAAGTAATAGATATCCAAGATTTTAAAAAAGGAAATAAAATCCTAATTGAAATAATGCTTATTATCCAAATATGCAAAATTAGATATCAATAAGCATAAATTAGGCAACCAAATATTCGAATCAAATCGAGATATGATAATTACCTGATTTGCAGATTTCTTTCCTAATTTGAATCTGTAGCGGATCGGAATTGCGGATCGGCGGTGCGTCGGGAGCGGCGGTGTGACGTCAGGAACAGTGGCGGCTAGCGACGGTGACACGACGGGAACGGCGGCGCGGCGGACGTCTCCGGGCAGCGGCCAACAGGCGGGGACGGGCGACTCTCCGGTGGGCGGGCAGTAACGAAGCGGCAAAGACAGCGGTGGGCTAACTGGCGGTGCGAGGGCGGCTCGGGGCGAGCGGCGGGCGGGCGGGCCTCTCCGGCGGCTGTGCAGCGAGTAGCGGCGACACAGACGGGCGGAGCTGGGATGTCCAGGTGACGGTGGCACAGGCGTGGCGGTGGCACCGGCGCGGCGGTGGTGTGCGACGAGGCAGCGGCAGGCAGGCGTGCAGCGGCGGTGGCACACGGCGGGAGACGGCAGCGCGCGGCAGGAGGCAGCGCAGGCGGTCGGTGGCACGGCAGGCGTGCAGTGGCTGAGGGGCGGAGCAGCTCCGGCGTAGTACGGCAGGCGGTGGCGAGGCAGGCGTGCAGTGCGGTGCGGCGGTCGGTCTCCTTCTCTCTCTCTCTCTCTCTCACTCTTCTCAAAATTCTCTCGTATGTCTCTCTAAAAATCCGATCTGAAAAATTCTGAGAGCCCCCCTCCCTAACTATGAGACATAAACATATATTTATAATGTAAACCTAGGTCAATTAGCCGGGCTTTCTAGTCCTAATAGGCTTAGGTTTAGGCTTTAATTTAATTCTAAATGGGCTGAATTAATTTGGGCTTTTCTTTAATTAAGCATAATGGGCTAATTTAAGCTCAAATTAAGACAACCAAGCCCTTTTGTGTGTGATTTTCGGCCCATGCTTTCCGAGTGAGCCGAATCTCGTTCGGTGCCCGAGCTCGATTTACGTGATGAATTTTAAGCTCGCTTACCATCGCCGATCCGATGCGAAATGCAGTTAATCTATATGAACCTAAACTTTATGCTATGCGATTTGTAATATTTTTGTTCAGGGATTAAAATTTAATCTTTAATTTTCTATGCAATTAATCACTAAATGATGCCCCGAAATTTAGGTGTCAACACCAAATGATTGAAATGATAACAAATAAACAAAGAAGGCCTTATAAAGAAAATGACACAAAATTGGAGGAGGTAGAGATTCCAAGAGGAACTCTATTGTAATCATGAAATGACCCTCGCACAAGGACAAGATGGAGCACCCTGGAATTATTCAGCTCCTGGCGAACGGAACCGTTTCTTTTCAAAGCTAATGCGGCGGAAAACATATGCAAAGACAAGAAAACTCTTAACGGGGAATACGTTTGTGTCCATATATTTCATCGGGATAAATATTTTAAAAGTTTTAAAACTTATCACGAAAGTACAATTGAGTCTTATAACTTTCAAAAGGTGCAATTAAATCTTAAAACTTTTGATAAGTTTTATAAAAAAAAAAAAATTCTTTTTATTTTTTTTTATTGTGGCCAGCGAGGTCGTATATGACCCTGGAGGGCCATTGGGCGAGAGCCCTGCAAGCCATCACCGGCCTCTGGCCATGGTCGCAGGCCTCGCCCAAGTGAGCCCTCACTCGGTTGCTGGGATGGAGCCCTCGTGGCATAAACGGGGGCCGCCCTAACTAGATTTGGCGAGGGCTTGACTCCTGCAGACGGGCAAGGCCGTAATGGCTCACCTAGGCAAGGGTGTGGTAGCCCTCGCCTGAGGCCAGCAATAGCATGGGTGAGGGTCGCGACTATCACCAGCGGCTGGTGAGGGCTTGCGGGCCACAATGAAAAAAAAGAAAATAGAAAAGAAAAAGAAAAAAAGAAAAAGAAAATTTTAAAATTTTAAAAAACATTATAAAAATTGTCAACATCGGCACCAGTAGTGTACATAAGACGACCGGCGTCCACGTCAGCGAATTTTGATCAAAATCAGCCGGATGGACTGAATTAGCAAAATCATCAAAAGTTTTAGGACTAAATTGAACAAATTAGTTTCGACCCATAAAATTGGACATATCAAAGTATTAAGATCAAATGGGCATAAATACAATAAGTTTATGACTTTTTCGGTAATTTTCCCTGAAAATGTATTATAAGCCACTTGCTAACGAATACGGTCCTAAAATATCGTCGTGTTTGTTTAGTTCTTCGAATTGCGAGTCCCGAAATCAACACTTACCAAAAATTTTAACTAGATTAGTATAGCATGCCCCTTGTATATTTAGCCTCTTTTTTTTCTTATTATTATTGTTACCATTAGATAGGGTACAATTGTGCTAGACACATAAGATGTCTATATCTGAAAAAAATGAAAATGAACTCTTCCTCCTTTTTCAGCTTGATCAATGTCACCATGAGGCCACAATTGAATCGGGTCGACCGAACCGACTCGGCCCGATCAGGCCTCCTCGGGGGGATACTGGAACATTTGGAACGATGGGTTGACGACGCTGAAGCCGCCGTCGATGAACAGGTTGTGCCCGCTCATGTACCTCGCCTCGTCGCCCGCCAAGAACAGGGCGGCGTTCGCCACGTCCTCTGCCTTCAGTGTCACCCCCTTCAGGTTCGACACCGCGTCCATCGCCGCCTCCAGCTCCGCGGCGCCCACGCCCACGAACTTGGTCGCCAGCGGCGTCACGCAGGCGTACGGTGACAGGCAGTTGACCCGGATCCCGAACTGCCCCAGCTCCACGGCGGCGTTCCTCGTCAGCCCCAGCACCCCGTGCTTCGCGCACGTGTAGGCGTGCGAGGCGGCGCCGCCAATGCCGGAGCTGATGCTAGCGGTGTTGATGATGCAGCCGCGCCGCGCCGGGATCATGGCCTGCGCCGCGTGCTTCACCCCGAGGAAGACGCCGGTGACGTTCACAGCGAGGACTCGCTCGAAGTCGGCCTTGTCGTTTTCGATGATGCGGTTCTTGTTCGGGTCGGCGATCCCGGCATTGTTGAACATGACGTCAAGCTTGCCGTAGGTGGAGACGGCCTCGGCGACGGCGGCCTTGATTTGGGACTCATCGGTGACGTCGCAGTGGACATAGGAGGCGGTGTCCTGGCCGAGGGAGTCGCGGATGGAGTGTCCGAGCGTGTCGTTGACGTCAGCGATGACGACCTTGGCGCCGTGGTGGGCAAAGACTCTCGCCGTGATCTCGCCGATCCCGCTGGCTCCTCCGGTGATCAGCGCAACCTTGCCCTCTAGCCTGTGAAATATGAGAAATGCATTAAATATGAAAGTTGTTTAGCATGTTAAAGACTCTGGCTTTTCACTCAAAGTGAAATTACCGACTAGAGTGGCAAAATCTCATTTTCGGAAAATACTTTCGCGAAAAATAATTTCACTAAAACGATTAAAAAAACCCATAAAACCGGAAACAGAAAAAGAGATTGAAAAGGCAATGATACAGGAATCACTAACCTCTTAATGACTGCGGAGATGAATGAAGAGCCCGCCATTGTTGCACATAAAGGGTAGAAGAAGACTCTTGTTGTTGTTGTTCTTGCATATGGTATATCTAATGAGGAAGAGAGATGGAATGGAGTTTCTTATATAGGACAATTAAGCACATAATTCACAGTTACTGATTGTAAAATATAAGACTGTTGGAGCTCCATGTGGGAAGGTTCCCTTCCTTGGGGCGGCTAATTGGAAATTTTTCGGATGATTTTATTTGAAATACATGTCGTTATCGAGCGGTGTAGTTGAGATCCTGTTAATACGATGAGCAATAAATAAATAAAGAAATTAAAGAAATGATGTAATTGATCAGTAAATATATGCGGAATGGACGGCAATATTCCAAGTATCTTAGATGGCGGCATCGAGAAAAAGATGTGAATAAGGATCCAATTTACATATATTTTTCTCAATTAAAACAAAAGGAAAGCCTATGTTGTAATGAAGAGCCAATGCTTACTACAAAATTAGTAGGCTTGCCCAATCAAAACAAAAGGCATCTTCCTCTTCCTCAATTCGGATAGATCCCTCCATCTCTACCTCTTTAAGGGTCTCCATTATTCCTATGCATCGAGCCGACTTACTCGCAACTAACCATAACTTGATCGAAATAAGAGTCAGTCCACATGCCCACTTCGCTTGTGCTCATCTTTATATATAAACAAAGCGTCTCCATCACATCGTTAAGCGTATAAAGAGAAAATTATTCTATTTATAATTATTTAGGTTTGCTTGTAACACATGTAATTGATGTTTGGAAAGTTTTTGACTCGTTAAAATATGTCTAGTGTTCGACCAAAAATAAAAAATATGTCTAATGAGTACCCTTCATGGATTATAATGCTCCTTAAACATTATCAAGTAACAATTGACTCTCTTGAAATTAGTGTTCTAGTGCTGCTCATCGTTCTTTCTGCAATGTGGACAACTTTTGCTTCGGTCCTCGATCCACGTGTCATGTAACTAATGCTTGATGCTCAGTGCTCTTAAGCATCATCATTGGACACACGATGATCTATGATGTATAATCCATACTTTAAACGCACGAACTTTAAGGTTGTCAAAACATTAGTCCAATCACTGCTTAACAGTGACACGTAGTGAGCACTGAACAATTGACCGGAGAAATTACGAAAATTTCGATCACTAGCAATAACGACATCAGGATTCATCAAGACGATGTTATCAAATTTAAGGATGAATAGGTTTTTGGACTCGAAAGCAACGTCGCGACAGCTCATAAGTCATGCGATTCGTGCAATGAAAATGTATTTATATGAATAAATCTGGCAATACTCTGGCTAACTGCACGTATGGTTCTGCTTCCCAAATGAATGAAAAAATAAAACAAAGGCGGCCTTAGAAAGAAAATTAAAAAAAATATTGGAGGAGGTTATGAGATTCCAAAAGGAACTCTGTCAAAATTGTGGAGCGAACGCTCGAACAGGACAAGAGAGATGACCCGGGAATCATTCAGCTCCAAGCCAACGGAATCGTTTCTTTTCCAAGCCAATGCGGCTGAAAACATTCCGCGACAAACATAACATCTCTTCATCTCAAGAGCCAATTTCTTCTGATGCGACTATACGAGCAGCTACATTGTTCCTGTTGAGATGCTCGCATAATCTGTGTTAAAAAAATCTCACATCGAAAAATTAATGTGGTAATGAGTAGTTAATACATTCTAATTGGCGCTGCTGGAGCGCGCACTCTTCCTCTCGCAAAAGGTTGAGTGTTCGAATCCCGGGTGCCGCAGGGTGACTTAACCGGTGCACGTGTGTGGTGGCTAGCACGTGTCGCCCACAGGGTTTACCTCCTGGCTGTCGGCCGTGCGGGGGTTCCCTGGGTCATCAAAAAAAAAAAAATACATTCTAATTGGCCCATAACTCATTGCTTGATCTTTTGAATGAAGATGGGCCCTACTAAATATGTCGATGGGCTCGAACTAAAACTCCCTCTTGACAATCTCCCCAGGTGAAAGGTATCGCGCTCCTAACAAATAGTATCAGAGCCAAGAGCTTATTAGTGGTCACTCCCAATATATATGGTTTTGGGTGAATATCTTAAAGAATGAATCTTGTGACCAACACCTTTCTAGGCAAGCCTTTATGGTTCAGTCTGGCATAAGAGACTGGGAGTGAAGGTGGGCGTTGTGGTGTAGCAACGCAGTCTTCAGGGTTTGGTCTAGAGGAGAAAAACACTAGGGATGAAGGTGGGCATTATGATGTAGCAATGCAATGTTCATGGTTCTGTCTAGAGGATGAAGGTGGGTGTTGTTGTTGTTGTTACAGTCGCCACATGCAACATAGTGGAAATTCTAGCTGAGATGCAGAAGGATACTCGATTTAAGTAGACTTAACATTGAGATCACACGTGAGAGGATTATTATTGAGATACATGTGTGAGTTGTGTTAAAAAAGTTATATATAGAAAATTTGATGTTGTATGAAGTAGTTAATATATTCTAATTAACCTATAATTCATTGGCTTAAAATTTTGAGCGAAGGTGAATTCAACTAAATATGTTGATGGACTCGAACTTATACTCCATCTTGGCGATCTCCCAGGTGAAAGATATCAGATTTCTACTACGCGTTTCTAACAAAATTATTGAGAATATGTTTCGAATTTGAGTATGTTTTCCAAAACAAGTTTTCAATAATGGATAGGAACATTATATAAAGATAAAATTCTACTATGATATCAGATACAACAAAACATATTAGATTTCTCTATGTGAGTTTTCTAAGTGAGTCCTTTATGAGAGATTATGAGATAATAGTTGTGAGTTTGCTTTGGGTGTAGTATACGGTTGGGAAATACTTCAACGACTGAGCTCTTGCAAACTCTGTATTCTCTAAATTCATATTGAATTTCTTGTGGCTGGCTCTCCCCGTGAAGTGGATACTAATAATTGAATTGTGAACCACGTCAAACTTTGGTGTTCTTTAAGGTTCCTCATTGATTTCTCTGGTTAAGCATAAATTGTAGGATTTGTTAGCATCCGCATTATTTTCACAACATTCCCACGTTCCAAGGCAATGAATGCTAGTGGATATGACTTATAATAAATTGCAAGGAACTAAAGGGCATTGACAGAAGTAAAAATTTTGTCTTCTAAGTATTTGTGTTTGCCTTATCCTCTTCAAATGCGCTTCTTTTCTAGTCCATGAGTGCCTGACCTCTCCTGTTGACACCTAAATTTTTGCCTATTCATTTAGGGTTTTATCGCATAAAAATTAGGGTTTAATTTTTTAACCACTAAACCAAAAATATTTTCTTTAAATTGCGTGGCATGTAGACAATAGGTGCATTTGCATTAATATGGCCTATTAGAACATATTTTCCACGTTTATTTTCAAAAATTAAATTAAAAAAAATTAGTTAATTAATTAATTAAAAAAAAGAAAGTAAAGAAGAAAAAAACAAAAGAGAGAAGAGACAAAAGAGGGAAGGCCATCTGCTTTCTCTCAGGGAGTGCACGTCAGAAAGGGGGTCGGGGGAGAACAGAAATCGGAGAGAGAGAGAGAGAGTTCCACATAGCGAGAGAGAGACCCGAGGATTTCGGCTCGGAGACGTGCGGGACGACCGGACAAAGTCCGATCTGTAGTCGTCCCCGCTCGCCGCCCCCGAGTCGGATAGGGAGCGCCACAAAGGTCGCCCCTCCTTCCCCTGTTTTTGGTCTGCTGGTCGGCGTCCCCTGTTTTTCAGGTTCACTAGCCGGAGCTCGCGGTCGTCCGGCTCACGCGAGTTCCGGCCCATGATACCACGTGCTTGATCCTGCCTGTTGATGCGTCTTTCTGTGTGAATCCCGGACACATTTGAGCCCTGATCGAACCTAAAATCTCCCGTTTTCGTTGCGCGCTCCAACCGTTCGATGTTATGCTTGAATGAGATCCCTTTCTTTTCGTTTGTGCGTGATGCATTCCGGAGCCTGGGTGTCCCTCTCTTCACTTGTGATGTCTCGGGTGCGTCGCCGGGCATGTGGTAGAGGCTCAGCTCGTTAGTTTTCGGTCGGTCAAGTCGTTGCTGTTTTTGCCGACGAACGAGGAACGTCTGTTGGGCGCGAGCAGAGCCTCGCCGGGGCTTGGCCGGTGCGTGGTTGTCCGGTCCCTCGTCGGGGCTTGGTCAGTTCGGCCCAGTCGTCAGCTGGTGGCTCAGGTGGCGAAGGAGTCTCGCGGTCCGAGCGGCGGTTCGGGCGTGACCGCGTGTGGAGCTGGTCAGCCTGTCCCTCGTCGGGGCTTGGCTGGTCCGCGGTCGGCCATCCCCTCGTCGGGGTCTGGGCAGTCCCGGCCGGTCGCCAGTCTTCACGGCGAAGACGCCGATGTGACACGGTGGCCGCCCCTCGTCGGGGCAGTGGCCGCGGGTAGAGAATCGCCGGTCGCCGATCGTCGCGGTCGCCGCCCCTTGTCGGGGCAATGACCGCGAATCAGATTGGCGGTCGTGAGTCGGGTCGGCAGCCGGACCCCGGGTCGGGCGCACGAGTCTAACCGGATAGGGTTTTGGTGTTGGGCTTGGTTTTAGGTTTATTAGGTTTTTATTAGGTTTTGGGCCTTTTTTTTATTTCAGAATTAGAGTGGGTTTCATTAGGTCTTGGGCCTTTCGCGGGTGGGCCGAAATTGGGATTTGGGCTAAATTGCCTTGTTTTGTCTTTTTATTTCCAGTGGGCTTTGGGCCTTTATTGTTTTTCTAAATAAAAAATTCGGGCTGGGCCCTTTTTCTTTCTTTTAAATTTGTCGGACCGGGCTCAACAAATGAACCCAGTCCGGTCGTGGACCCGGGCCGGCGCACCCGGGTCAGTCTCGGTCCGGGTCGGATGTGGAGATCCGACCCAGATCCGTTTTTTATTATTTTCAATATTTAATTTTAAAAAAAAACTTTACATTTTTTTTGTCCGGGTCGGATCTCCACATCTGACCCGGTCTGTTTTATGTTATTTTATTTTTAAAAAAATCGAAAAATTTTAAAAAAAATTTAAAAAAAAATTTCAAAAAATTCAAAAAAATTTAAAAACATTTTGAAAAACCAGAAAATATATTTGGACTTTGGAATTGATTTTTTTTTGCCCTATTGTGTGATATTAGTGCCATATTCGACCGCACGTTGCTTG